TTAACTACATGTAAAAAATAAAAACTACAAGTGTTTCCTGATCTGTCTTATATGTCTTAGACACTTCGGAACAAACTTCCTTTAGATTTTTTGGGGGGACTATCTGTTGTTCCATTTAGTGAATCTGTTATTCAATGCATTTGTATGGGCTAATAGCAGTAAGGCCAAAAATAATTTTTTATCAAATATTTTTTAAATACAGTATATTTTTTTATACTTCAAGGGGTCTTAAAATTCCAAATCAAATAGATAAATTATCCTTGGTATGACCTTCTTAAAGCAATTCCATTTAGCTTAGTAGAACCCCCCCCCCCCCCCCCCCCCCCCCCCCCCATCTTAGACAGGGCTTAGACTTTTATGGGTTAAAGGGATACTTACGGATTTTGTCTACTTCCCCAGAGTCAGATGAACTTGTGGATACCATTTTTATGTCTCTGTGTCCATTATGAAGGAAGTTAGAGGTAGTTTCGTAAGCCAATGCTAACTAGTGTTTACGCAGTGACTGGCAGTCTATGGGTATCTGCCAGCATTAGCACAATGACAAAGTCTAGCAGATACCCATAGACTTCCAGTCATTGCGTTAACGCTAGTTAGCAATTGCACTAGCGCTCGTTAACAACTTCCTTCAAACTACACACAGAGACTGTCAGTGTTGATGTGGATGCGGTTGAGGAGTCAGACGCAGGACGCATAGGCTGAGTCAAACAAGACTTTACTAACTGTATAAACAATACAAAATAAAGGACCTCAAAACAAGGAGGCGAGCGACAACGCAACACAGTGCGTCACAATAAACAAAGTCCAGAGTACTGCACAGGTGACACCAACGGACAGGCGGAAAATAACACACAAACTAACGAAAACAACATAGGAAACTTATAAGGCACATAATCAGACCCAAACGGACACAGGTGTAACAGACAGACCCAACCAAACGAACATCGAAACATTCAACGGTGGCAGCTAGTACTCTGGGGACGACGAACGCCGAAGCCTGCCCGAGCAAGGAGGAGGAGCAGTCTCGGCAGAATTCGTGACAGAGACATACAAATGTTATCCACAAGTTCATAGATAAAGGCAAATCCTTAAGAGACGCACAAGTGCATCAATCTAAGTAACATAATAAAACATCCCCATCACAATCTGTCAGTTTAAGATATTTTTTTTCCTTTCAAAAAGGTAGGGGTCAAACTTATTATACTTTATAAATAAAGTAATCAAAAGTGTAGTATTTGGTCCCATAATGCTAGCATGCAATGACTAAATCAAGCTTGTGACTCTACAAATTTGTTGGATTCATTTGCAGTTTGTTTTGGTTGTGTTTCATATTATTTAGTGCCCAATAGAAATTAATGGTAAATAATGTATTGTATCATTTTGGTGTCACTTTTATTGTAAATAAGAATATAATATGTTTTTAAACACTTCTACACAAATGTGTATGCTACCATGATTACGGATAATCCTGAATGAATCGTGAATAATATAATATATAATAATAATAATAATAATAATAATAATAATATAATATAATAATATATAATATGCCATTTAGCAGACGCTTTTATGCAAAGCGACTTACAGTCATGCTTGCATACATTTTTTTTTGTGTGTTTATTGGTGGTCCCGGGGAATGATGAGTGAGAAAGTTAGAGGGTCAAAGATCATACCCCCAGGATATGCTAACCTCTCACCATTACCCATAACAGGGGAGGTTAGCATATCTTACAATAAAAGTGACTCCAAAATGATGTAATACATTATTTACCATTTCATTTATACTGGGCAAAAAATAATCTGAAACAAAACCAAAACGAACTGCAAATGCATCCAACAAGTTTGTAGGGTCACAACCTTGAAGTAGTCATTGCATGCTAGGAATATGGGGCCAAATACTAAACACTTGACTACTTTATTTATAAGAATCTTTAGGGGTGTCAATCATTTTGACCACTACCTTTTTGAGAAAAAATGTATTACTTGTTAAAGGGATACATCGGGATTATCTACTTCCCCAGAGTCAGATGAACTCGTGGATACCATTTGTATGTCTCTGCGTGCGGTTTGATGGAAGTTGCTAAATAGCGCTAGAGCAATTGATAACTAGCGTTAGCGCAATGACTGGAAGTCTATGGGTATCTGCTAGCATGCTAGCGGTCGATGGACAAGGTAAGATAGCAATCCATCCTTTGGTTTTGTTTAGCATTTTTAGCATGAAACCAATGCAAGTGGAAATCCCCGGTATAAGCATTTCCATGTTCCATTTCCAAATCATCCCAAATTATAAAAATTTGATTGTATAGCTCAATAAAGTTACTTTAAGATGATTTAGAAATGAAATGCGAAAAATGCTAACATCACGGATATTCACTTACATTGATTTTGTGCTAGAAATGCTAAAAAGTTGGAGACAGTGACCAGGTAAACAAAACCCAAGCATGGATTGCTGTCTTATCTCATTCATAGACTGCTTACAGGGTAAGGAAACCAATATGTCATTTTGTAATTTGTGTGAACTATCCCTTTAACACTAGAACCACCATAGGCCAACGGCCACTGATGTTTGATTTTGTTAAAAAAATCTTCCCCCAAAAATTGCCTGCTCCTTCCCTGACTTTTCCTGAATGTTTGTATTTTACAGCGCTCAACTGTCAGAATTTTGAAATCACAAACAGAAAAGTATTTAGAGCCTTTTTAACCTTTTTCTTCAACACCTATTGCCAACTTCACCCGCCAAGACAATGTGCTGGAGGACGTTGGTACGCAGCCAGGCACTAATGCGTCTCTCTCTCCTCACTGAATGATTGACAAATGAATGAATTGGGATAATTGTGCACCTTACTTCACAATTTAATTTAAATTAGGCCTAACTGAATGATAAGGTAAAGAGGTTGATTTAATGTAGAAAGAAAAGAGTGTATAGATGAGTTTGTGTTATAATTTTACCGCGCATCTCGCGGGTTGATACCATTATCTTTTACGTTTTACTTTGTAAAAATAAGTTGTTATGGGACTGTTGTATTTACTATAACTCTATTACTAATGTCCTCTATATTTTTAGTGTATGCAATATGATGGACTGACTGGTTTAAATGTGTATGATGTGAGAACGTATGTGTATGCGATTATTTTAATGTAATGTGATGCCAAAGGAAAATGTCCATTCTGGATGGACAATCAAGTTTTATTCTGTTCTATTCTATTCTAATTTACAGATGCAGGGAAAGGAGCATCAATTTATAAAATCCTCCTTCAGAGTTACATCCATTTAAAACATTTTGATTTCTATATAGTATCAGAAAGAGCATATTCTGCAGTTTCTATGACACTAACCTTTGTCAAATCACTCAAAATTCAAGAGGTGCAGCTCTATATCCATGCTGTCCATGCATTCAACACATGACCACTCACTCGGCAGCATTGCTCTGGCTATTAAGCAAAAACTGGTAACATAATCAAATTAAACTTAAAATATGCTATTCTGTCGTCAATGGATGAATGGGTGATAGAAAGCAGATAGAAACTGATAATGGTGAATGTGACTTCAATGAACTGAATAATGAGGAGGGTGAAGATGGTGATTGGATTTGATTGATCTGAATGATGATGAGGATGATTGAATTTAGAACAATAGTGTAATGATGATGAAGAATTGTGGGCTGTCTAATTCTTTTATTATTCCAAAATCATGGCCATTAATATGCTATAACAGCCTCCAGTCTTCTTGGATGGCTTTCCACTAGATGTTGGAACATTGCTGCGGGGACTTGCTTACATTCAGCCACAAGAGCATTAGTGAGGTTGGGCACTGATGTTGGGCGATTAGGCCTGGCTCGCAGTCGGCTTTCCAATTAATTCCAAAGGTGTTCGATGGGGTTGAGGTCAGGGATCTGTGCAGGCCTTTCAAGTTCTTCCACACCGATCTCGACAAACCATTTCTGTATGGACCTCGCTTTGTGCACGGGGGCATTGTCATGCTGAAACAGGAAAGGGACTTCCCCAAACTGTTGCCACAAAGTTGGAAGCACAGAATCGTCTACAATGTCATTGTATGCTGTAGCATTAAGATTTCCCTTCACTGGAACTAAGGTGCCTAGCCCGAACCATGAAAAACAGCCCCAGACCATTATTCCACTTCCACCAAACTTTACAGTTGGCACTATGCATTCGGGAAGGTAGCGTTCTCCTGGCATCCGCCAAACCCAGATTTGTCCGTTGGTGATGGTGTCAGATGATTCATCACTCCAGAGAACTCCAGCACTCGGCGGTCCCATTCTGTAAGCTTGTGTGGCCTACCACTCCTAGATGTTTCCACTTCACAATAACAGCAATTACAGTTGACTGGGGCAGCTCTAGCATGGTAGAAAGGTGTTCTTCTCCAGGGTTACAACAAAATGTTTGCTGTAGTGTTGGGGGTACTCTTGAGTTTGGAACAACGGTTAAATGAAGGTTGGGTTTTGATTTGAAGATGTCCATTTGCCCACTAACATGGAGTGAACAGCTGCAGTGATTGCTCTCTATCCAATAGCATAGACAGTGAAACAAACCTGCCCAGCTGCTTCGACTTTGTTTACATAAGACAACACGTCACCAACATTTTTTTACTTGAGAAATACTGCACCAAACGCCTTAGTTAGATGTAAATATGTGCAACTAAACATCCTCGGCAAAAACGTCAAAATTAATTATAGATTTCTTGAGTTATCTTAGATTCATTCTGGGGATTTTGAGGAAGTGAAATAGGCTTCCGCAGTGTCTCATGGGGGACAAACATCATTAACCAAGCGCGGAATCGGTCAGGAAACACACTTCTAAGACTGAAATCTCATTTTTCTAATGAGCAACAGAAAAATGCACATGCCAATCAACGTGTTCAGTGGCTCTTTAAGTGGATCGCTAACCTGGTCTTTGACCTGTTTATGCTCTTGCCAACTCTATTGTTGTCATTGTCAAGCCATACATGTTTGGCATGACAATGAGTGACAAGGAGTTGGCATGATGGCACAAACAGACTGGCACTCAGGGTAGATGATTGTAGGTGCAGCACAAATGAACCACTATTCAAACCTTATGAACTACTATTCAAAGCTTATGAACCACTATAAAATTTTATGAAACACTATTCAAAGTCTTCTTCTTCTGGAACAGGGTGACCAGACTATTGCTCTTGCTTTGTGTGTCTGTGTTTATTTTGTTGTTGACAATGTGAGGCAGGAGCACACGCTCGGTCCTGGGCTCCATCTCATAGTAAGGGCACACCTTCAGGTGGTCTGACATGGAGGGTACATCGTTGTCGAAACACCATGCTTCCACTGGAGAGAACAGTGTACTGAACTGCCACACCTGGGCAGAGGGAGGGGAGGCGTGGAGGGAGAGTACAGGGGAGGGGAGGCGTGGAGGGAGAGTACAGGGGAGGGGCGGCGTGGAGGGAGAGTACAGGGGAGGGGAGGTGTGGAGGAAGAGTACAGGGGAGGGGAGGTGTGGAGGAAGAGTACAGGGGAGGGGAGGTGTGGAGGGAGAGTACAGGGGAGGGGAAGATGAGAGGAGGAAGGAATAGAGAGAAGAGGAAATCAACAAAGGAAAAGCACCGTAAAAAAGTAAGATAGAGACTTCTCCTGTCTCGGCTAACTCACCACCTTCTTGGCCTTCCACTTGGCCATGCCAGTCTTGTAGGTCTTCTTCTCCCAGAGGAGGGAGACCATCCCCCTGTCCTGCAGCAGAGAGGAACACACCTCCCTCATGAGGCGGGAAACCAGGGCCAGTTGGGACAGGGACAGGCTGTCCAGGAAGCTGGTCATGTGGTACAGCACCTCGTAGGGCAGAGCGCTCAGAGAGTCCCAGTCCCCTCCTCCTCCTCCCCTCGACCTTCGCCTCCTGAGGTTTGAGACTGGTTCTTGAGCAGGCTGGGACTTGGAGTGTTGGGGTTCCTCATTTAGAGAGGCAGGGACACTGGGTCTCAGGCTGAAGCTACTAAGCTCTTGGCTGGAGGTACAGGTTAGATAGAGTTATTGTCAGGGTCAAGGTAAGGGTAAGGGCAGTCTGTATATTTCTATGAGGGAGCTTTCTTACTTGTAGGTGACGGTGGCGGTGTGTGTGGAGGGCTGGAACCTCCTCTGGCTGTAGGTGCAGCCCAGGTAGGCCAGGGGACACCTCTGCTCAAACCAGCCACTAGCGCACATCTGTATGTCGGTGTGCACGTTCCTGAATAATAATGATGAGGAACATTCCTTTTATTTGTCTAGACACCATACTAAAGGAGGCTGTACAGCCATATCAAGGCTACTACATGACAGAGTGTCAGGTACCTGAAATGTTTGGGGTACCTGAAGTGTTTGGGGTAACTGAAGTGTTTTGAGTACATTACGTTTTTGCGGCACTCTCTCCGTTGGAAGTGTTTGAGATACCTGAAGTGTTTGGGCTACCTGAAGTGTTTGGAGTACCTGAAGTGCTTGGGGAACTCTCTGCGCTGGAAGGAGTGTCCACAGAGGAAGGTGAAGGCGGAGCTAGTCTTGTTGTGTCGGGTCGTCACACTCTTCGCCTGCAGTTGGAGGTGGAGCTGGAGGGGGCGGTCCTCCGTCAGACTGGCCAATGAGGTGTCACGACCGAACGGAGCTGACAGGAAGGCGTAGGTCTGCGTCCCCGTGTCGCTCAGGAGAGCGTCGCTGGACTGTGACTCAGCGATTAGGTGACCCCTCAGCTCCTTCTCCAGAGAACACAGCAGACTGGCCTGGAGGATACATGCAGGAAGAGTTTGGGAGTAATATGCAATCCTAACCTTTTACACTGTTGCTGGACAAGATTAAACACCCACACCAACCAGTAGAAATCCACTTTTTTGAGCTGAAAGAAAATGGCCAGAGCTTACCCATGATATAAGTAAATAAGTCATTGTTTTAGTCAAAGTATGATGTATTTGGGCTTGAAGTGACAGAACCGAACTGCCCGCTTTGTGCAAATTTGTGCCAATGACGTGTCTTTTCCTATGAAATGACGTGTAAATTATTTTTCGCCTACATTTCGTTTCAGTGCTGGGTTTAATTTGAATGGTACCACCCACCAGCATGGAATTGTTTATTAATCAGAAACACCTGCAAAGTTCGCAAGTCACCACTGAGCTGAGCAAAATAATAGATTATCTTTGGCTACAGCAAAGATGGTGGATAAATGAAGATAGTTCACTAAGACCGTTTACCATTTTAGAAAAATTGTCAGTTCCGGTCTACTTAACACTAGAACCGCTAACGCAGTCATTTTGACTGCTCATGAATTTATTTATTTTATTACTCTACTATTTTCTAAATCATGCCCTCCTCCGTCCTTGACTTTTCCTAAATAAGTATATACAGTACCAGTCAAAGTTTGGACACACTTACTCATTCAAGGGTTTTTCTTTATTTTTACTATTTTCTACATTGTAGAATAAGACATCAAAACTATGAAATAACACATTTGGAATCATGTAGTTACCAAAAAAGTTTTAAACAAATCAAAATACATATTATATTTGAGATTCTTCAAATAGCCAACCTTTGCCTTGATGAGCAAGGGGAAGTGAATGATGCATAATTATGTGTAATCACCAATTGTGAATGAAGAACAAGGCGGGTTATTGTATTGTATTTGTATATTCAAATTATAATCTCAAAATGGTATGTACCCTATATCAGTCCACCAAAATCCAAGCAGTCTTATGAATCTACTCTGGCCTACATGGAGTACACAGTGAGAGAGTGCGTAATTTACAATAGCAAGAAGACCAAGACGAATGGATGCACATGCTGCGTTAGCGCTGCTACAATCAAAGGTATGTCAATATTATATAATACCCATCGCCATATATATAGATAAACTTATGCAATGCATTATTCTCTTCTGTATAACAAGTTTTTTTTCTGATGGAAAAATCATCCTAATGTTTTCTGCTCTATTCTGTTCCACAGGTTGGTGTGGATGTTTTGGAGAGACATCATCATGAGTCTGGCATGTGGGCTACGTGAGAGACATATGAGGGCCAAGGCAGCAGCAAAGATTCCATGGGAGCCTTTATGCATGTCAAATTCTCCAAGCTTCCAGGGAGGAGACAGTGCCTTGTGACCAGATGCACAAAGAACAGAACCCAAGACACTTGTGTCACCTGCAAGTGACGTGTTTGTGGGAAGTGTGTCAAGCAAGTGAAAGGGGTGAAGATTTGTGTCGACTGTTAGCACAAGGGATAAGCGCTAAATGAAATCCAACTGATGCCATTGCGTGAAACCATGTAAGCATGAGCTGACAATAATTGACTATTTATGACTGCTGTCATATCGACATTTATATTCATTATAATGCCATTATTGCTTTTGTGCAAATTAATTACTTAAAAATCATACAATGTGATTTTCTGTATTTTTTGTTTTAGATTCCGTCTCTCACAGTTGAAGTGTACCTATGATAAAAATTACAGACCTCTACATGCTTTGTTAGTAGGAAAACCTGCAAAATCGGCAGTGTATCAAATACTTGTTCTCCCCACTGTAGCTAGCTAGCTTGTTACTCTGACAACTGTCAGTCAGTATCTTATTTGTTGTTATTTCTCTGCTACACATGGAAATCACCACAACGTTCCCACCCCCAATTCCTGAATATGTATTAGCATCCTGCGTCAGTCTTTGAGGTGGAACCTAAATGAGAATTTCCGCTCTAGGACAGGAATTACTCAAAATACAGTGCCTTGCAAAAGTATTCATCCCCCTTGGTGTTTTTCCTATTATGTTGCATTACAACCTGTAATTTAAATTGATTTTTATTTGGATTCCATCTAATTGACATACACAAAATAGTCCAAATTGGTGAAGTGAAATGAAAAAAAATTCTCAAACATAAATAACGAAAAAGTGGTGAGTGTATATGTATTCACCCCCTTTGCTATGAAGTCCCTAAATAAGATCTGGTGCAACCAATTACCTTCAGAAGTCACATAATTAGTTAAATAAAGTCCACTTGTGTGCAATCTAAGTGTCACATGATCTTAGTATATATACACCTGTTCTGAAAGGCCCCAGAGACTGCAACACCACTAAGCAAGGGGCAACACCAAGCAAGCGGCACCATGAAGACCAAGGAGCTCTCCAAACAGGTCAGGGAAAAAGTTGTGGAATAGTACAGATTAGGGTTGGGTTATAAAAATATAACCGAAACTTTGAACATCCCACAGGGCACCATTAAATCCATATTTTTTTTATTGAAAGAATATGGCACCACAAGAAACCTGCCAAGAGAGGGCCGCCCACCAAAACTCACGGACCAGGCAAGGAGGGCATTAATCAGAGAGGCAACAAAGAGACCAAAGATAACCATGAAGGAGCTGCAAAGCTCCACAGCGGAGATTGGAGTATCTGTCCATATGACCACTTTAAGCCATACACTCCACAGAGCTGGGCTTTACGGAAGAGTGGCCAGAAGAAAGCCATTGCTTAAAGAAAAAAATAAGCAAACACGTTTGGTGTTCGCCAAAAGCCATGTGGGAGACTCCCCAAACATATGGAAGAAGGTACTCTGGTCAGATGAGACTAAAATTGAGCTTTTTGGCCATCAAGGAAAACGCTATATCTGGCTCAAACCCAACACCTCTCATCACCCCGAGAACACCATCCCCACAGTGAAGCATGGTGGTGGCAGCATCATGCTGTGGGGATGTTTTTCATCGGCAGGGACTGGGAAACTGGTCAGAATTGAAGCAATGATGGATGGCGCTAAATACAGGGAAATTCTTGAGGGACACCTGTTTCAGTCTTCCAGAGATTTGAGACTGGGACGGAGGTTCACCTTCCAGCAGGACAATAACCCTAAGCATACTGCTAAAGCAACACTCGAGTGGTTTAAGGGGAAACATTTAAATGTCTTGGAATGGCCTAGTCAAAGGCCAGACCTCAATCCAATTGAGAATCTGTGGTATGACTTAAACATTGCTGTACACCAGCGGAACCCATCCAACTTGAAGGAGCTGGAGCAGTTTTGTCTTGAAGAATGGGCAAAAATCCCAGTGGCTAGATGTGCCAAGCTTATAGAGACATACCCAAAGAGACTTGCAGCTGTAATTGCTGCAAAAGGTGGCTCTACAAAGTATTGACTTTGGGGGGGGTGAATAGTTATGCACGCTCAAGTTTTCTGTTTTATTTGTGTTATTTCTTGTTTGTTTCACGCCAAAAAATATTTTGCATCTTCAAAGTGGTAGGCATGTTGTGTAAATCAAATGATACAACCCCCCCCAAAATCAATTTTAATTTCATGTTGTAAGGCAACAAAATAGGAAAAATTCCAAGGGGGGTTATTACTTTCGCAAGCCACTGTAGGTGCGGCAATTTCCTCAGTGGTGAGCCCAAATTTTCACTTAGGCAATGAATTGATGTTAGTAGGAGACTAGAGAACTATAATGGGAGACTGTCGGTCTGCAACTACTTTGACTGGAGATATCCAGAGAGTTCACCTTGAACTCTTACCTGCACCTCCTCCCAGATTGGCATGTCCTGTGGCTCCACCCCCAGGTCGCTGGTGTCCACGGCCACATCCACCCTCTTCCAGTGTCCGGGGTTCCTGATGCGTGTGTGTTTGGCCGTGAAGCTGGTGGGAATCTTAAAGGTCCTCACTGTGTTGATCTTCATGGGCTCCAGCTGGCCGTAGTAATACATCTGCTTCTTCTTAGGGCCGGCCAGACAGGCCACACACTGGGAGTTGGGGCATGTGTCTGTGTGTGCGTCATTAAGTGCGTGTGTCTCTGTGGTGTTCAGGGTCTGTGACTGATGTGCCTCCGTCTCTTGACCTCTAACCCCTGATGCTTGACCCTGACCTCTGCCCCCTGCCCCTGCCTCTTGGTTAGCCTCAGCTATCATGCAGCCTCCCCTCTCCATGTTAAACATGCGCTCCCAGATGTAGCCCACCAGGCCCTCTGATCCTACCCCCCTTCCCCTGGCCAGCTCCTCCCTCTCCTCCTGGGTCAGCTCTCTCTCCTCCTCCCTCTCTCTGTCCCTCTCCCTAACCGCCTCCTGAATATTCTCAGGGAGGGGTCCATACCATCCTCGATCAGCAGGAGACCCACAGCCTACCCTGTTAGGGAAAGACACTCCTCCAACCACTCCCTGTGCCTCCAGGGCCTCCCTCTCCTTCTCCTCCTTCTCCCTCCTCCTCCCCCGCCTTCTCCTCTGCTCCTCCCTCTCCTCTTCTTCCACCCTCTCAGTCAGCTCAGGGAAGAGATTCTTCATCTTCAGGGAGTGGAACAGGTGGCGCTGATCTCTCAGAGCCATGGCCAGGTCCAGCGCCTCCCCGTGTCCTCCTCCCTCCTCCTCTTCCTTCACTAGGTTCTCCTGCAGGGCCGTATGTGTGTGTGACTGGGCGTCCTCGGCTGGCCAGCGGTTCCACTCCATGGAGCAGCACACCACGCTGGCTGGACAGACGTGCAGGTGCGCCGCCAGCCTGGAACGGGGCATGCTGATTGGACAGCCGAAGCCCGCGTTTAGGCATGGCACCCTCTCATTGGGGCAGAGCAGCGCATGCTCCTCCTCTTTGCACAGGTGGAAGAGGGCGCCACACAGCAGGTGGCAGGGGATGAGCACACATGACACCGAGATCTCCACAGGGGCCTTGCAGCACTTGTTGAAACAGCGGTCACAGTGGCGGTGACCAGGTGGGCGGGAAGGACGAACCTTAGGGGAGGGCGAGACACAGGGAGAGAGGGAGGTAGAGGGAATGAGAGAGACAGCAAGAGAGTGAGGGACGGAGCGAGAAAAACAGAGACAGAGGGTGAGAGGGAGGAAGGGAGTGAGGGACAAAGCAAGAGAGAGGTAGTCATAGGCAAAGAACACAGGCAAAGAGTCAAAACTACTCTCAATCAAAAACATGAACTCTGTTTTAACTTCCTATTTTATGATTGTCTTTATTTGGTTTCAATAGCTATTGAAATTTGATTCATTTTTAGTTCAAATTAATTTTGAACTTACCATACCCACAGAACTTCAGTGTGTCATATAATTGTTGAATATCCTGAAAAACAAATAATTGATATCATAAGTCAATAAAGTTGTTTTGTGTCAACTTGCCTAAAGGTAGAGGTAATAACAACAAACAATAACAGGGCAGATATAACACTGACAATCATGAGAATCACATTAACTTTGTTGGCAAGTAATCTGTCATAAATCTGCCGTAAAGACATGTAATCATAATATAGTCACTGTTATGCCCCACTCCCTCCATGTACACAACCATAAAACAAGAATTGACATTGTCAGCTAGAGGCCTGGGGGTGGTCCAGCGGTTAGTCCCACCACCCCCATGGGCGAATCCGTCCCACTACCTATTTGACACAACGTCTGTGTTCTTATTATCTTCCCTTGTCCAGAAGTGTGCACTCATTCACTCCCCCTTATGCATTTAAACGCATTGGATTGGTGCAAGCATGCCTGGAGGGAGTTTCCACCATATTCCTCAAACAAGTGCGCACTTCTGGCTAGGGTAGAGAATCGGAATGTAGTCCATGTTTTCTCATGTCTTTCCTGTTACCTCTAGTCACTGTCTATCAACAAGTAAAAACATGTTTAAAATACAATGAACAAAAATATAAACGCAACATGCAATAATTTCAAAGGTTTTACTGAGTTAGTTCATTTGAGGAAATCAGTCAGTTGAAATAAATTCATTAGGCCCTAATCTATAGATTTCACATGACTGGGAATACAAATATGCATCTGTTGGTCACAGATACCTTAAAAGAATGGGCCTCACAATGGGCCTCAGGATCTCGTCACGGTATTTCTTTGCATTCAAATTGCCATCGATAAAATGCAATTGAGTTCGTTGTCCCACCGCCACCATGGGGCACTCTGTTCACAACGTTGACATCAGCAAACCGCTCACCCACATGACGCCATACACATGGTCTGCGGTTGTGAGACATTCCTGCAGTCAGCATGCCAATTGCACGCTCCCTCAAAACTTGAGACATCTGTGGCATTGCGTTGTGTGACAAAACTGCACATTTTAGAGTGGCATTTTATTGTCCCCGGCACAAGGTGCACCTGTGTAATGATCATGCTGTTTAATCAGCTTCTTGATATGCCACGCCTGTCAGGTGGAGGATTATGTTGGCAAAGGAGAAATGCTCACTAACAGGGATGTAAACAAATTGGGGCACAATATTTTAGAGAAATATGCTTTTTGTGCTTGTGGAAAATTTCCAGGATCTTTTATTTCACCTCCACTTTGTCCATGACAGCCAACAGACACTCATCATAGAAATTATTGAAGACTTTGGATGGACTGTTTGTTGTATTGTGTGTGAAGTTGAATTATGACTGATATGAAGATGATCCCATCTGTAACTTGGGTGTTTGCTTGCAACACCCAAGTTACAGAAATAAGCTTTTGTGCGTATGGAACATTTCTGGGATCTTTTATTTCAGCTCATGAAACATGGGAACAACACTTCACATGTTGCGTTTATATTTTTGTTCAGTGTAGTTTCTGAACAATATAATGATTTAAATGTGCATACATTTGCATAAAAGGAATACATTTATCACATTACCTAACTTCCCCCATGATGTGTTTTAGATGTTGTTTAATCCGTTTTTTTAAGATCATTTTGCTGTTGTTTGGATCCTGATTGGACGAGCAGTGTACCAAGCCGTGCTGTATTGGCCGTCACAGGCACACTATGCCTGCCAACAGTTCCATTATCACAAAGCCTTCATAGGAATATCATCATGTTCATGTTGCTGTCCAAATCATCTCATCTTAACTCGCACATTATTTCCCCTTGCTTCTATCCTAAGATTTAATTTGGTACCAGTTGATTGATTTGATACAATGATGCAATTCACTAGCGATAGCTCAAGTCAAGACAGATAGAAAGGAAGGCAGACAGGCGGAGCAGAGAGATGAATGCGATTGAAATAACCAGAATTCTTATCAGGATATTTTCTACTGTTTTCATTTGTCGGCTTTAGCCCTACCGTGCATTCGGAAAGTATTCAGACCACTTTACTTTTCCACATTTTGTTATGTTACAGCCTTATTCTAAAATTGATTAAATAGTTTCGTTTTTTCTCTCATCTACACACAATATCCCATAATGATGACGCAAAAACAGGTATTTAGAATTTTTTGCAAATGTATTAAATATAAAAAACTGAAATATTACATTTACATACAGTACCAGTCAAAAGTTTGGACACACCTACTCATTCAAAGGTTTTTCTTTATTTTGCTATTTTCTACATTGTAGAATAATAGTGAAGATAATGTTTTGATGTCTTCCCTATTAGTCTACGATGTAAAAAATAGTAAAAATAAAGAAAAACACTTGAATGAGTAGGTGTGTCCAAACTTTTCACTAGTAGTGTAAGTATTCAGTCCCTTTATTCAGTACTTTGTTGAAGCACCTTTGGCAGCGATTACAGCCTTGAGTCTTCTTGGGTATGACGCTACAAGTTTGGCACACCTGTATTTGGGGAGTTTCTCCCTTTCTTCTCTGCCGATCCTCTCAAACTCTGTCAGGTTGGATGGGGAGCATCACTAAACAGCTATTTTCAGGTCTCTCCAGAGATGTTCGATCGGGTTCAAGTCCTAGCTCTGCTGAAAAACATCTGCACAGCATGATGCTGCCACCACCATGCTACACCGTAGGGATGGTGCCAGGTTTCCTCCGGACGTGACACTTGGCATTCAGGCCAAAGAATTCAATCTTGGTTTCATCAGACCGGAGAATCTTGTTGCTCATGGTCTGACAGTCCTTTAGGTGCCTTTTGGCAATCTCCAAGTGGCTGTCATGTGCCTTTTACTAAGGAGTGGCTTACGTCTGGCCACTCTACCATAAAGTCCTGATTGGTGGAGTGCTGCAGAGATGGTTGTCCTTCTAGAAGGTTCTCCCATCTCCACAGAGGAGCTCTGGAGCTCTGTCAGAGTGACCAACGGGTTCTTGATCACCTCCCTGACCAAGGCCCTTCTCCCCCGATTGCTCAGTTAGGCCGGGCGGCCAGCTCTAGGAAGCGTCTTGATGGTTCCAAACGTCTTCCATTTAAGAATGATGGAGGCCACTGTGTTCTTGGGGACCTTCAATGCTGCAGAAATGTTTTGGTACCCTTCCCCAGATCTGTGCCTCGACACAATCCCGTCTCAGAGCTCTATCGACAATTCCTTCGACCTCATGGCTTGGTTTTTGCTCTGACATGCACTGTCAACTGTGGGACCTGTGAGACAGGTGTGTGCCTTTCCATTCCTGTCCAATCAATTGAATCTACCACAGGTGGACTCCAATCAAGTTGTAGAAACATCTCAAGGATGATCAATGTGAACAGGATGCACCTGAGCTCAATTTCGAGTCTCATAGCAAAGGGTCTGAATAATCATGTAAAAAAGGTATTTCTGTTTTGTTCTTTTTAATACATTTGCAAAAATTTCTAAAAACCTTTTTTCGCTTTTCCATTATGGGGTATTGTGAGTAGATTGATGAGGAATTGTTTGTTCCAATCTTATTTATTTAGTTGCCAATGGATCACGGTGTGTCAATGTGTCCATATGGCAGAGGCTGGTGCTCTCGCTTTAGCTGAATTTTTACTTTTACATTTTTATCATTTTTAATTAAGATTTTTATGATTAACCACATCACAATGATTTTGAGAAACAAAAACGCTATTATTGAAATGAAACTGTTCCACGAAAATGCAGATATAAAAATGATCATGACTGGCATGCAGATCAGTAGAAATGGTAGGATAAATTGTAAACTTCCCCAAACTTGAAACTCAGGTGCCGCCTATGGTCTTTACTATAACACCCATAAAAAAAATAGGAGGTCCGGTGAAAAAACGTGCCCCCCTATGGAAATCAAATGCCCATCCAACTGATTTGTTCTGGTGCCAGCCCCGAGCTGTACGGAATCATGGTGGAAGCAGAAGTGCTGCTTGATTCTGATGGCGCATTGAGGAAGCTCGGCGAGAGTGAGTGGAAGACTGTGGAAATGTAAGATAGAGCTAAAATAGCAAAAGTTGTAAATGATCATCGGTGAAGTGCAATTTGTTAATAATTATGTATACTTGGGAGATCCATTTGAGATCACAAAGATGATAAAGGATGCATTAGGAAAGGTAGAATCATTCAGAGATACCAGGAGTGGTTTTCATGCCTCTCGGAAGAGCAGAAGGAGAAAGCTTTGTGGGTCCATAAGTTGGCAACATAATATTATGAAGTGGAGAGCTTAGATTTTTGGAGCAGGGCATCAATTAAAGGTGTGAATTAAAGGTGGGACATTGAGGCTTCATGTTTTAAGAAGAAGATTCCAGGAGTGGTGGGAGCACGGCGCCTGCACCATGTAGAGTATGGAAAGAATGGAGGAAGCCAGTCGGTTTTACTGATGTTTGATGTAAAGATGGGATACATGAGATACGCTGTAAGAGCCTTCGTAAATAAACCGTTACAGTGCCGAAATTGCAAAAAGTATGGCCATGTCTCAAATGTGTGTCGACGGAATCAACATGTAGTTGAAGAATGTGATGATGTACTGTGTAGCAATTGTGGTGGAAATCACGTTGCCGAATTCTCGGAGTGCCCTGCAAGGGCAAAGGAGGTAGAATTTGGAAGGGTCTGAGCTGCACAACAGATCTCCTACAGAGAGGAGTGGGAAATACTATAGTTGAAGGAGCAAGTG